AGAGGGAGAGGCAGAGGGAGAGGCAGAGGGAGAGGCAGAGGGAGATTTAAACTGCCTGGGGCTGGCATGTCTGAAACCTGTAGGGGAGACTGGTAAGGCTAGAAATTCTGGTAGGGCAAATGTCATAGTTTTTAGGTCTAGATTCTGTAGGGAAGCAGGCAGGAACTATAAGCAGGTTTTCTATGTTGCGGTCCTGAAAATTCCTTCATTAGGAATCCCCATTCTACTCTTAAATTCTGCAACTAATTGGACAAAGCTTACTCACATTATAAATGATAGTCTACTTTACCAAAAATCTACTGATTTGTTAATCACATCTAAAAACTGCATGTACAGTGTATCTAGGTGGGTATTTTGACCAAACTGAGTACAATAGCCCAATCTAGTTAAAAGCTAACTGTCACAATGTACTTATCTACATTTAACTCCCTGTTATTGCTCTAACTTGTTGATTCTCTTAAAGCTGGTTCTTCCAGAAATACTGTACAATAAAGTCTACATCTGAAACCTTGCCATCCCTTTCCTTAGATAATATGAATATTACTACTTCTTGCTTTTCAAAAATGACATCTCCTTCACCTTGAATATTCTTATTAACTAAAAAGCTGTGAGCTGTTCTCAAAAATTAGAACATAACAAACAATAACGCTAGAATCTCACCTCTACTAGTTTTTTTAAAAACACATTGAAAAACATCACTCTCCATTCTGTATGACTAATTTTTCTTTAATCTCTGTGTACTTTTCTTGTGCTTTTCTTGATCATCCTGAGTAACCTGATTTTCCACCTTTCGTTTCAGAGATGAAGAGAGAAATATTCCTTTGCATTTCAAGCATTAGGTCCTTTTCACTTTCTCACTTTATTTTTGTAGTTTCTAAGGCTTTTCCTTGAACTCTCCATTTTGGCCAATATAACTAACCTGCTTGTCAGTGAGTTTTAGTAACAATCATTCCTGAGAGCTTCTCAAAGTTCTCCCAAACAGCCTCCATAATCTACAAGATGTTAGTGATTAAAGCGTAAGGCATGCAGGGCATCTTACATGTCAGCCAGAAGGAAAACCAGGGCTGTTAAATATTTGTTTTATTTTCATTCTTCAAATCTTTTATACTTAACTTTTTGGGGGATGATTCCACAGTGTATTAAACACTTTTTACTTTAATGGAAAGAATAACTTCCAACTGGTGTGTTTGATCTTATTATACAGACAGTCCTAGACTTAAGAATGCCTGATTTTTATGCATTCACCTCTCCCAGAACTGGGTAGAGTGTGTGGAATGTCTTTCCTTTTACACTATAGAGGAGGAGTGAGCCGCTCTTTTGTTATTTGGAAGCTGCTATCTATCCAGGTCCTAGAGCCTCAGTATCAGTTTCCTTTTCCATTTCTTTGCTAGAGATGGGAGAAGTGAGGGAGAGAGCAAGCAAGGAAAGCAGAAGACCATGCTGCTGATGTCTTGGCATTATTCCACACTATATCACCTCCTCCTAACTTTTCTAATACCACTATGATTGAGGAGCAGTGGATTGGACTGGAAATTTCCAAGTTGAGATTTTATCAAGAGAAAGGTGAAAAGGGGCCAACTATGTCCCAATACAGTTTCTGATTCATTCTCCTACTCCTGACATACTGCTTCTTCTCTGTGTTCCATAGAACTTTCTTCTAGGCTCTCTGCTTCATTAATTTCACATCTCATGACTTGGCCTATGCCTAGTTATTCCCTGGCCGTGAGGACCCATGTGCCCCTTTTCTTCAAGCATCCTATACCTAACTCTATTCCTATACTATTTTCTCTTGTATCAAGGCTAGTGAAGTGGCTCTAAGAGAAGACCACTTTCACTGTCAGGAGCGAGCTGAAGGGCACCTCAAGGGAGTGGCAGCGAGGAAAGATGGTTCCAGCACTCCTAGATACAGGTCTGTCATAATACGCACGTGTTACCATCTCTCTTGATTAATTTGTCTCACTAATAAATCATGATCTTCTTTCAAATTTTATCTTTTCAATGGAATCATATATCATATTCCCAAGTGAAGCTACTTGACAGGCAAAGTTGAAGAAGGACGGTAGCCCTGGAAATGTCAATTTGGAAGCTGATACTAATCTATGGATTGAACAAATCTCTCTGTGCTAGTTTGGAGCTTGAATGTTTCACAAAAGCCCATGTGTTAAAGGTTTGGTCACCAGCCCTACTGAGAGATGGGACTTTCAGAAGATAGGGCTTGATGGAAGAAAGCTAGGTCACTGAGGCCACGCTCCTAAAGGAGTTCCTGGCTCTTCCTCTCCTTTTGCTTCTTTAGGACCACGAGATGATCAGCTTTCTTTAGCCCTGATGCACTGTCTCACCAAGGCTAAAGGCTAGAGAGACTGAAACTTCCAATACTAAGCAAAAATAAAACATTCTATGTGTGTGTGTGTGTGTGTGTGTGTGTGTGTGTGTGTGTGGTGTTATTGAAGATTGAACTTAGGGTCTTGCACATGCTAGGTTTTTCACTACTGAGCTATACTTCCAGCCCATCTTCTCTTGGGTTGATTATTTGAGGTATTTAATTACAGTGATAAAAAGCTAATATAGCCAGCCTCAATCTTGATAGAAAACTTTATTTTTTTCCACTTCAGCATAAATATATTTTAAACAGAAGTTGCCATGATTTTCTACCCACACATTCCCTGGGATACTAGAACCTCTTTTTCCAGGGTTCAGAGGTACAGAGGTTTAATATCTGAATTCTATGTAGCACACAATTTTGGTTTTACTTCAAAGTGTGAAATTGCTCTTTAAAGTACAGTGTACTATGCTGCAGCAGTTCATGAAGGAGTTCTTGTTTCTTCATATCCTTCCTTAAACTTCATATTATTAGCTTTTATATTTATCGATTTGTGAGTAAACTCTCAGGGACCAAATTCCTCCTTTACCTGGCTATCAAATATTGGCAAGGACGTGGAGAGATTAGAACCTTTATATGCTGCTGGTGGGAATGTAAGAATGGTGCAGCAACCATAAAAACAAGTGTGAAAGGTTTTTTTTTTTTTTTTTCATAAAGTGAAAGTTAAGAGGTTTTACCATTTTAATTCAGTAATTCTACTCCCATATATATATATATATATATATATATATATATATATAATCTTTTTAAAATTATTCTTGATGTCTACCAAATGTGTGGCTAAGCCCATTGTAGTAGAGCCA